CCAGATACAGCCAGGGGCAATTTAAAGAAACTGGCACGCAACTCATTTAAAACTGAAGCCATTTGTTGAACTTGATGTCAAAGCGAATTCAATTGTCACGCGAGCAGCAGCAGATGCAGATCGAGCGGAAGAGTGCATCGACTGAATGCGAATGCATTTAAGTTTGTACAGTGCAGGACGGCGCGTGTGTGTGTGTGAGTGAGTGTGGAAGATTTGCTGCAGCATTTATTACGTTTGGGATATTCCAAATGATCGGACTCGTAATAGTCACACGCGTTTGTTACGCGTCTCCAGCGAAATAAAAAAATTTGAACTGATTTCGGCGCAAAACATCGTAAAAATTTCATAATTAGTAAGTTCAATTTGAGTAACTAATTTGTAACATAATAAAATTTTTCACAAATAAGTGCGAAGCAAAGCTACTAAAAAAAACCCGATTCATATGAAAAGTTTAAAATTATACGACTCCGTTTTGTGTCTACGAAATGTGATTTATATAAAAATAAATATTTAAATTAAAAATAAAATAATTATAACTCACATATTAAATATTAGTTCGAACAACAAAAGAAACTTGATTTCAGTTTGCTGGTGCTCGACTCGCGGCGCAACATTTTGGCAATTCAATTGTTTTGGCTGCGTAAATAGAACTGTTTGTTTTCCAAATATTTGCAGCAATGAGAATGCTGCAAACAAATGCGAATGATAAGAATCAGATGCTGGTTGACGCGTGGCTCATATCTGGGAAATTGTTAATTTTTCCTTATCCTTATTTGCATATTTTTGGTATCCAAATAAATGAAACGAAAGTTGCCTTAACAATTGTAGGCCAACTTTATTTGCCCGAGTCCGCATTGATAATATTTTTAGCTGTTGGTTAAGCTTCTCCCTTATTTGTTAATGATTATTTTTTTATTTTTTATAATTTTTATCGACAACTAGGTGTTAAAGTTAGCATTGGCAACTGTAAAGCCAGATGTTTCAATTGCTATTATAGTTCCTGAACAACAATTTCCTATATATTTACATATGTATGTGTAGTTGTATAGTTATATATAACATGAAATCAGGCAAACTTCAATTCAAATTATATCGTAATCATCTCAGGTTAGCTTTTTAAAGACTCGGCAACAGAGCGTATTCGTGATAGCTTCGCTTGTTAATTGGGCTCAGTATTTGTTTGGACAATTGATATAAGAGTTTCATTTTTGCCTTGAGGGGATTTCTTGATATTATACGCTGACTCTTATACGGTGTGCTTTCCTTTGTTCTTTGTTGCGTTGCCAACGGACAACGAACAAAGGAAAACTCATTCATGTAAATATTTGGATGCGCAGTATCGTATCTTTCGCTCTGTCCGAGTTCGACACTACTCGTGTCGCCTCACGCACTTGGTACAGTTGATCCCAGGCACATGTGACGATCGTCTGTTAAGCGGAAAATGCGATAAGATCATATGTCTGCGATATGGCGCACACTTCGCACACACAACACAATAGTTTTAAACACTAAATCCATTAGTACTTCAACGGCTTTTACACTGCTTAGGTGCCAATGCCTATCTAATCACATTTGTTCTTGCTGTCGCCTAAAATCGTTTATTAATCTATAATTACACATTAAAGCATTAGCCATGGGCTTTGATTTTGGCTCTCAAAAGATAGCACTGGCAACACACAATATTTATTGTGGCTTTCAACGTTCATTCCTTTTCAGTCTGACTAAAGTCTGAATTGCCTAGTATTACCAGTAATATACTGCGAAATATTGGAGAATCTACTTAGCGTGGAGCTTTAAATGCTGACTGCCTGCATTTGAATTTAAATGTTTTTAAAGCTGATGGATGTTAAGGAGTAAATCGTCGCATAAGATTGCCTCTGAACCTATTGCCGTTTCGAAGTATATTTCTTTTGTTAAAATGCATGTAAACGACCTTATAAGTATGTATATTCTTGACTAACCATCAATCAATCTGGCTCTAGATCATTAATTAATTTATCTATCAGTATTTCTATCGATATGTCTATAAATGTCTATCGATCTGTTAAAGCGCGATCTGTAAGCTTAAATTAGTAAGATACTTGATGAAGTTTGCATTGAATAGTATTTTACTCTTTTCGCTTCTATTAATTGTATACTAAAGTGATCGAAGCTGCTCACATTACAATAAGAGGGGGTAACGAGGTGCTCCAAAAGTCAACACAGACAAATGTCTAGAGAGCTTGTAATATATATCGTCGGGCACTTGCTACTATATTGTTTTTACTTGTTATGGAAACCGGAATATTTTGTATATATCTTAAACAATTCTGTTCTAGGAATTGTTTGTAAGCAATACTCTTTTTGACTGTTCAAAAGAAAAGTGATTCAATTTATTCAATTTAATATTTAACTTGATGATGGAATGAATAGATTTTTGTATTTAGATCATTTAACTTTGCAAAAAAAAAGAAGAAATTTGTCTGATTATCGAAAATTGTTTTATTAGTTACATTTTCAGCTCACAGGTTGGCATTAAACACAAATTTTATGAAAGTTCATAAATTTATAACTTAAAAAAATAATTTAAATTACTTCCATAACTTTGATATATGAAAACACATTATATAATCAAATTTGAGTTTTGATAAATGAGCAATTAGCAAGCAGCTCCTTAATGCATGAATCATCTTTTGGAGCCTCTAGTAGTTCCCCCATTGTGATATAAAGCTAACGAAAAATACATATTTTATAGCTTATGAGGGTGTGTGTGTTTGTTTGAGTCTAGTGTGAAGATTGTGAAGTGAACAGTCATAAAGCTGTCGATCGAAAGTGGAAGGCAAAGCTGTGGTTAAATCGTAGTGAAGTATATACATTTTAGACAGCACAGAAATGAAGTATTTAGCATAGAAATTAGCGTGGCAATTTGTTATATTTGCAGGTACGCGGTCACAAGGCCCATATGAGCATGTAAATCAAATGAAATCGTATCGAATCCATTAATCGCGTATACGCCGCATGGACGCTCGTAAAAGTCAACAGCCCGACTTGAGTCTGTCTGCCATGCGTTAAGCGGTTATTTTTTTTGGCAGCTCCTGACCTGTTTTTGTTAGCTGGTGTGAAAACTAGTTTGGTTGACTGTTTGGTGTACAGTCGCCCCTCCCTCCGAGCAGAGTCACAAATTAAATCAAAACTCTGTCGCTGGTAAGCCTGTTGATTTGATTTTATTAAGCGCGGCGCTAGCGTTGACTGCGCCGCTGGCGCTAACGCTCAGTCGAACAGCTGTTTCTCGTTTTTAATAAACAAACTGGTGCGTCGGTTAGCTCAGTACGCAAAAGACACTTCGTGGATACACATCGCTAGAGATACTCGTGGGGCACGTTACAAGTGCGCGCTAAACGGGCCGTTCGCCAGAACACAGACCCCAAACATCAGCTGCCGAATATTACAAAAATCAAAAACCAAACAAGAAGAAGAAGAAACTCGAAAAGATATAAATAAAGCAAAATAACTAAAATACAAAATACAAAATAAGAAAATTCAAATTACGTTTACTGCTTTCATCGGTCGTGACGTGTGTGACAGTTGGAGCCGTTGAACTTTTTGCATATATGCATAGGAAAGATCGTCAATTATATACGAATACATATATATACATTGTATATACATAAGCATTTCTATACTAATTAAGGCTGTCGCGAAATAGAACTTTGTTTCTGAAAAACAACAAATTATTTGTTTGTGCTTCAAAGAAAATTGTGTATACGCACCTGTTCTCCGTTTTGTATTTCTGTTCGTAAACAAATTTTGTTTTCTTGCTTTCATGTGTGTATAGAAAAATTAAGGTGGATTTAATAAGATATACTTTACAAGTTATCGAAAGCTGCAAATCAGGTAAGATAACAAACTAGGAAAAATATACTTACTTTACAAGTTTTCATTTAATTTACCTGCCATTTGTATGTGAATTGTGTTCAAAAGAGTTTACTATTTGTACAAAAACCATATTTTAAGGACCTTGAACAAGTCTTTAAAGTGGTACGAGTTTTTGTCTTTAAAACATCGTACTCAAGTTGTTTTGCAATTGCTGTGAAACCAGTTATAAATGTGTAAAAATATTCAAAGTGGAGTTCAGAAAACAAGAATATATATACAGACAAAACCAGCTCAAATCAAATCAGTCAATTTTGAAATAAAATCGCAGAACAGGAGTGCGCTCTGAATTATTATTGTAATTTATGGCATTCGTATGTACAGATAGCAACGCCAAAATGTGCTTTACTCGACTGGGCTTGGGCAGCTACACGTGCTACGCTCAACGAGAAGTCGATTACTTGGAACTGCTTGACAACCATTGACGGGCTTTTCAGCGCAGTAATCAACAGGGCTATGCCTGTGTGCGTGTGTTAGTCAGCATTCGGTTGTTGGCAATTAGCAATAGTCAGTCGGCAGCTGGCGGCTGGTGGCTGTTGGCAGGCGGCTAACCCTACATAGCAAAGTTGTATCTGAACGATTGTTAATATATATGCCATGCCACTGATAAGAGGCATATATCTCGTTCCACAGTTCCGTGGCACGATAAAACATCTGACCTTGTTACTCAGCGACTGCTGTTTATCTGGGTTTGCTTCCAAAAATTACTAAAAATATGTCGATGGAGTGCTTAGCATGAGCAAACCCTAGAAATTGGGATTGAAATTTATTTTGCTTTTATTTGGGAAATGTCTCGTATTTATTTCAATAAATAACTTGGTCAAAAATAAAATAAAATAAAGAAATAAATGAAGGCTGCAATTACTTGTTTGAGAAAGTCGTTCGAGTTTATCTCCGTCGACTTTCTCCTTCACAAAATATTTGCATTTTTAATTAAAGTGCCCAGCGGCTGAGTTTTTATATCTGGTTTCTTGCTGCCTTACATCTGATTAATTATATTTATAATCGCTGTTAATTATTCATTGACTTTGTAGCTAAAAAAATATTTGATTATTTAATGAGATTTTAACTTTGTTTTTTTTTTACAGACTAAACAAATGTGAACTAAATGCGTAGACATTTATTTTTTCGATAATAACACACACATCGACACACACACACACATACAACAGACACAAATAAACGTACACACACATACATGCACAGACAGAACAAACTGTGATACCCTATATTTGAAGCTGGCCATTTGAAGCGAACGCAACAAGATACCCCCTAGAGTACAAACCTCAAATACATCCAATAGAAGAGCTCAGCAAAGGTCACAATGGATTTTGATCAAATTCTTGCCAAATGCGGCGACTTCAATCGCTATCAGTTTATGATACTCGCACTCTTTGGCTTTATCAACATCATCGTATCGATGGTATGTACGATTCACAGCTTATTTATTACCTGATGGCTAACTGAAATGTGACGATTATTCATTGCAGCATTATTTCACACAAACTGTGATTAGTTTCGTGCCGGATCATTGGTGCTATCATGAAAAGCTAGTTAACATGACATATAAGGAAATCGCCGACATCTATTCCAAATTCGAGAGTCCTTCGTGCACTCGCCTCGCCGACATCGACGGCGGCAATGTCACTGTCAGCTCGGAGAAATGCGAGAAATGGATATACAACTATGACTTTGGCTATAGAAGCATGAATACCGAGGTGAGTCGAACCTGCAAACATTTTGGGCTTGTATAAGAAACTGATAGTATGAGAATAAAATAAGTAGGAATTAGATAGAGGAGGCCAACAGTAATTTAGTTGTTAAATTTTGAGCACAGTATACACTATATCTTTTAGACTTTAGATATTTATCAGTTAAATTGAAATTCATGTCTTATCACAAGCCTCGCTTGACCGAAAGTTCGTTTACCCATATCAATAGCTTAGTTAGATCGACTTCCTATAGTTCAATATATATATTTTCAAAAATATTTGAAATGTGTTTTAAGAGTCAGTAACTTTAAGAGTATTTCACAATCATGGCCATACTTATTTTCATTGTTTGTAGAAATGTGTATAAGCTTAACGTGTTTTTATTTATTTATTTTCTATTTTCCAATCAATCAACAGCTGAACTGGGTCTGTGACTCAGCGTATAAGGCGCGCATCGGACAATCGTTGTTCTTCATTGGGTCTGTTGTCGGCACGCTGTTCTACGGCCTGTTGTCTGATAAAATTGGACGTGTGCCAGCATTGATATTGTCGAATTTCTGCGGCTTCGCTGGCGATTTCTCTACCATCTTCACCAAGAGCGTGGCCACATTTACGCTCTGCCGTTTCATATCGGGTCTGGCGGCCGATACCAACTTTTATCTCATGTATATCATCGGTAAGTCTATGCCTAACAATGACTAAAATAAATTATAATCATCATCTTTTTCTTATTGTACAGTTCTCGAATATATACGGCCCAGCATGCGCACATTGGGTCTGAATATGGCTGTGGGTCTTTTCTACTGCCTGGGCCTGGTGTTTACGCCTTGGCTGGCTGTTTTGGCCGGGCACTGGCAGATCTACTTGGCGTGCACATCGCTGCCCATACTGCTGGTGGTGCTATACTATTTTGTGGTGCAGGAGAGCGCTCAGTGGCTTGTGACGCGCAATGACATCGATGGGGCCATAGTGCGGCTAAAGCGCGTTGCCAGATTCAATGGCCGCCACGTGACACAGGCGGAATTCGATGAATTTAGACGCCACTGTCAAATGACCCGCGAGATGCAGGGCGGCGATGACAAGAAGCATGCGACGCTGTTGGACATGTTTAGGACGCCACGCATGCGCAAGAACACGTTGATTCTATTCTTCAAATCGTAAGTAATACCATATCACTCATACGATATATTACTTATACGCAACGTATTGCAGAATGGTTATTACATTATGCTACGATGCCGTGTCGCGTAATGTGGAAGGAATGGGCATCTCGCCCTTCATAATGTTTTCGCTAAGCGCTCTGGCGGTGCTACCCTCAAGTATTTTGCTGGTCTTGCTGCAGGATCGTATTGGACGCAAAGGCATGGCATCGGGCTCGCTGCTGGTCGGTGGCTTGTTCACGGCTGCCGCTGGCATCGCTATTGCCTATCAGCAACACAATCACAATGCCATTCTGTTGGCCTGTTTGACAATCGCAGCGCGTTTCGGCGTAGCCATTTCGTATGAGTCGGGATCACAGTATGCGACAGAACTGATACCCACGTGTGTGCGCGGTCAGGGAGTGGCTGCGGTGCATGTGGCCGGCTTTGCGGCTTCCTTCTTGGCGCCCTACATCCTATGGCTGGGCACGTTCTTTAAGGCAGCACCCTCGATCATATTGGGCGTGCTCTTCTTTGCTGGCTCCTTTGTATGCCTGCTTCTGCCAGAGACTCTCAATCGGTAAGTGTGTGAACTTTGTTCTTTCGTAACAAACCGCTAAATTCGTGAATATTTTCGATTCGACAGGAGCCTGCCCACTACTATTGAGGAGGGTGAGGTGTTTGGCAAGGGCGAACGCATGTTCGACTTCCCCTGCCTACATCATCACGACGACGATGACTCCGACTCTGAGATGGAAAAGTACAAACGCAAGCATTCGCTCATCGATGCCAAGCAGCAGGTAGAGTCCGGTCAATATAATAAGCGCAAACAGTCGCTGATCGATGCCGATCGCGAGGAGCAGGCCCTAAAGGATGCAAAGCACTGAGCCAATCCGTAATGCCTATGACTAGCTTGTAGTTTAGTTAAACAATTTTCTATTGGCCCATTAGTAAGCACTACTTAACGCTATCAATCAAACAACTACAATAACAATAGTCCTAAGTAGACAGCTGATCTATGAAATACTGTATTTCAATTGTAGCTTCTTCAACTTAACAGTGCCGCAGCTATCATAAAAGAAAAAAAGAGAATACAAATCTAAAGCAGTGCTTAGTTAGCTGTATGAATACCTCATAAATAACTATTCAAAGATTACTTAAAAACCACAATCTGTGTGCTCAGTATCAAGACAACATTTTCGATACATATTTCTTTCACATACACACCTATGCATGAATACATATATATATATATATATATATATATATATATATGTCTATACATAATTTAAACAAATATATATGTCTTAATTCGTAGGCTTATATACTTATCTAGACTTGTAAGCAGCAATATACATACATTGTGTATGTATATATATATATATATATATTTAATAACTCATAACTTAAATCGAAATTAAGCCAATGAGAATATTTTCCAAAAGCATGTAAAATATCGAAGCCGAAATGGGAATCAAAATCGTATAGTTAACATTTAAGCGGCACAATTTCACTTAACTGAATGAATTGAATACTTATTAAACACATTTACATATATGTAATATGTTATAGTTTAGCTTAAGCGTATTACTTTAATATTTAGAAAGAGTTTATTTTGATTTAATGCAAATCTGATAATAACTACAATTTTAGAAACAATTTAAACAAAAAAAAAAAAAACTCCACATGTATACAAATCTAACGAAATTATCTTTTATTCGTTTTTCATTTTTGGAAATGGAATTTAGTTTTATATTTTCAATTGTGATCGCTATTTGCTGGACGTATCAGCATTTCAACGGAATGTACGGAGTCGAGAAAATTGTTCCAGAGGACCAAGTTGCTTCTGATATAAAAGTTCAGATTACTATATGAATATAGAAAATTTGTTAGTTAATAATATGAGTTAGATTTCAATGTTACTTACGATTTGCTGCAACCTGTTTCCCACCACCCTCCATTGGAATCCTTGGCGCAGTTAACGCCGTCAATTAGATCATTGTCGACATCGAAAGTGCTGAACTTTTGATTCAAGCTCTCTCCCAATCCGTCGCCAGCGTCTCCCGCGTATTTGCCAAGTGACTTTAATGCATAGCCCTCAGTCTCGTTCCCAATTCGGAAGTGGCTGTAAGATGCGCTTTTTATTCTCTGGCCATTGTCTAATCGTATCAAGAGCTCGTGCGGCTGAGACGATGTCATCAGGTGCAACTTTTGCAGTCCAATGAAGAATTCAGTGCTGAAGTTACCAAAGCCCTGTGCATATTCCTCCCAGCGACGATTAAAGCTTATTTTGTGATCCAATCGACGCTCGACAATTATCCAGACCTGATTATTAGACCCGACCACGGTGCACGGCACTTGGAAAGTCTCCTGGTTAGGGAGCGATATTACATTTAAATGGCCAGGATGAGTACAATTGTTCTTCACTTTGTCCACTTTGGTATCTAGTTTAACTCTCTCTTCATTTAGTGCAGATCTATTTACAGTTTCGCTTATGTTTTGTTTGCATATTTTCAGATTTTCTTGATGCTCAGTAATATTTTGTTCAAATGTTCTTAATTTTGATTCCAGTAAAATTATTTTGTCGTCGGAGTTTTTAGTTTGAATTCGCAAACGTTTCAAATTATCTTCTAAATTTTTTTTTTCAGTTTTCGTTTGCTCTAGCTCAGCTTGTGTGACCCTAGCTTTGGTTGTTAAGTTGCGAATCTGCGCATCTTTTTCAGCGAATGCCTCTCTCATACTTCGCTCCAGATCTATGTTTTTGGTTTGTTGTTCTGCTATTAGTTGTTGATTAATAAGTTTAGATTTAGTTAACTCGTCTTTTAGTCTCCTGACATGTTCAATTGATTGTGTTATCAAGCTGCCTCGTTGTTGAGCAATTTTGTTTGTCGTGTTTAAATATTGCAAAACTACGTTTTTCATATTTTCCTTGTTTTTTGTACAACTTGTCTCGTTTAGGTGGGGAAAAATTCTTTGGTAATTGTTCCATATAATTACAGATTCTAACGGAATCGGACAATAGAAGGTTAAAGATATGATCAAAACCAGAAACTTTGCCATTTCAAGTTTAAGTTCTGTAACACTTTACTGCTATTGAATGCGATGCTCTTTTAATCTCGCTACTCTCCGCTTAAACTAAGAGAACTGCCACACTTTCTTGGGGTTTTATACCCGAAATCAATTCAAATTGGATAAAAAGGGTATAATGTTTTTATCCAAGTCTACGCAACAGCCAGAATCAAGACGTTTGCGCTCACATAAAATATAAGTAATAAAATGAGTTGAGTCAAGGAATGGAAAAGATGATAAATTCACCTGAATTGGCAACTGCCTGTGGCTAGCCTCGTTGCTCAGCTATCCAGTGTGGCAAGCTGTGAAATGCCTCAAGTGGCAAGTGGCGTCTACACCTATGGGAATGCGCAGATTCATAAAATTATAATATCATTCATAAGAATTAGTAATTTTTGTACATTATGTGGTTTCGGATGCTTACTTCTGACTATTACAGAGTGATTACAGATGTGTACAGATTGTGCATATAATATAAGACTACATATTGAAGAAAATAAATAAAATAAATTTGCTCTATAAATATTTATATTATTTTTTATATTTATGTACAAATTAAGTTTCAAGCTGTAAACAGCAGCCCAGCGTTGTGTTTAGGATATGTCCTAGTTGGACAAGCTCGGTTCAAGCTTTAATCGTACATGCATAATCTGTATATACATACATACATACATACATACATACATATATATGTATAAATATATGTAAATACATATATATTTTTTCCAATAAGCACTTTGACGTCATAGAGATCACTTCCTTTTTTATTATTTTATATATATATATATATGTATATATATATATATATATATAGAAGTTTATTGAAAAAAAAAAATTATTAAATTGCAATCTAAAGTCCCAATCCCAAAGTCAAATTTCTTAAAAAGTGTACTCCAATAATATATAAATATGATTAAAATTTTGTCGTAAAATAAAAATATTTATGCCGATTTTGTGGACAAGTATGAATTTCAGTCGAATCTTTTGAGTAAAGCTGAAAGAGAGCTGAACAATAATTTATCATTAAAGTACTCGTGCTCGGGTGATATGGAAAATATAGTTTTTCTTGAGACGGCCTTAGAGTACTTACATCATTATATATATATATAAATTAATATGTTGCTGGTCCAGCGATGAACTAGGCGTCGGTGGCAGGTCCAGCGTTGATCGGGTATTTATAGTCTTAATCAATAAGTTGCTGGTCCAGCTATGAGCTAGGCGTCGGTGGCAGGTCCAGCGTTGATCGGGTAATTATAATCTTCTTATGATGATTATGTTGGAGGGTTTGACTTCACCCCCTTTTCTATTAACTGGCCTTGTGGCTCAGCAATGATCAGAAATATAACAATTTGATTACGGCGGTGTGCCGGAGTAGTGCGGGTTTATTCTTCAAACTTCAATGCAAAACTGATTTTTAGCTACATAGAATATTTCACTTAAGCTAAGCCAAAACTCGCATCACACCACAATGTCATGGTCGGCAAGCCGACTCAGCAATCTTAGGCAATAACGGAAACTCTTGCAGTAAACAAAAGTATCTGGTTACCGCCGCTGACCATTGCAGTTATAGCGCGCTGATACAAAGTATGCAGTGTCGCAATTGCGAGGGCTGTTTCTTAACTTACGAAACACGCGATAGCGAGGGTTGGTTATAAACTTATGAAATACCCTATATTAAATGTTATGTGTTAACTACTCCCCCTTCAAGTGTAAGGCCGCCCTCGGCCGACCCAATTCCGGCGACGACTTCTCGTAATTGCTTCGCAGACTTCCTTGCGTCGATGAACCGCCAAAGGGTGAGGCCAATGCAGATTAAAGCACAGCATATACCTCCAATGATGAATGCCACACGATAAGCTTGATCAGTTCCGGCGTCTTTCTTGAATTGCTGTATCTCCTCCAAATTACGTTCATTTAAACGATGAAGATAAGGGAGGCTGAGGACATCTTGGCTGGCAGTGATGTTCAGCAAGGGAGAGTTGGCAATGCCCGGGACTCTATTGCGTACGTTGTTGTGGTTGTAAAACAGAGTCCCGTTGATCGCGACTCGGTCCCCGAACGTAATGAGATGCGTGCCGTGTACTTGGATTTCAGTGCCGTTATCCACCTGGATCCTTGCGGACCCGTCGTTAAGAATGATGATTCCATCATCTACGTGGGTGATTATTTCCAGGTTGCTCGGCTGGATTTCACAGTGTGCCGTGCCACCTGCATGGAGCTCTTTGGCACATGAACTCTCTAATGCCAGACGACAAAAGGTGGCTCCAGGTGAAGCGGTGCAACTCTGCAGTGTGTGGGTTTTTCCATCGCATTCGGCTATGACGTTGTCAGGCAATCGCAATATGAAATTCTGATTTAAATTCCAAAAAAAAAATTTTTTTTTTTTTTTTTTTTTTTTTTTTTTTTTTTTTTTTTTTTTTTTTTTTTTTACGTTGGGCGCCAATTAATATGTTGCTGGTCCAGCGATGAACTAGGCGTCGGTGGCAGGTCCAGCGTTGATCGGGTATTTATAGTCTTAATCAATAAGTTGCTGGTCCAGCTATGAGCTAGGCGTCGGTGGCAGGTCCAGCGTTGATCGGGTAATTATAATCTTCTTATGATGATTATGTTGGAGGGTTTGACTTCACCCCCTTTTCTATTAACTGGCCTTGTGGCTCAGCAATGATCAGAAATATAACAATTTGATTACGGCGGTGTGCCGGAGTAGTGCGGGTTTATTCTTCAAACTTCAATGCAAAACTGATTTTTAGCTACATAGAATATTTCACTTAAGCTAAGCCAAAACTCGCATCACACCACAATGTCATGGTCGGCAAGCCGACTCAGCAATCTTAGGCAATAACGGAAACTCTTGCAGTAAACAAAAGTATCTGGTTACCGCCGCTGACCATTGCAGTTATAGCGCGCTGATACAAAGTATGCAGTGTCGCAATTGCGAGGGCTGTTTCTTAACTTACGAAACACGCGATAGCGAGGGTTGGTTATAAACTTATGAAATACCCTATATTAAATGTTATGTGTTAACTTATATATCAAGTCGTTTTAAGTTTCAAAAGCGGAAAAATAACTTGAAGCTGTACAGATAGCGGGATGTATGAACAACAGAGAGCAGAGAAAATAAAGATTGCCTAAAGACATCTTATATGAGTTTGAAGAAGTTACGTATAGGAAAATGTGGAACGACTGAATTGAGAAGCAGAAAAATATTTAGAGACTTTAAGTTGTCATTTAAGCTATCTTAGAGGGCAGATGAGATATTATGTAAATATAGTTCAGTTTAATTGAGTTCAGTTCAGTTTAATTAAAATCAAAATAGATTAAGCGGAATACATGTATATATAATTTAACGGTTAAATCCCGATTACTATGCATTCTTTACATGAGTAATACTTATCAGACCATTCAGTTACAGGAACTAACATTGCGTTAAGCTCATTATCAGGTTATGGGGTTTTATTACTGAATCAGTTTCAGATGGATCGGCTTAGGTAGCCAGGAGCTAAGCATCAGACTTTTTATCGCCAGTTTCCGTTAGGCTTTGGCGGTGTTTCTTGAAGCATGGGAAATACAAGCAGCCCTCGTTCATAGCAAAGCGTTCACCATCGGCCAGGTTTTCAGGTAGTTTTCTAGAGAACAAAAGCACAGTTATTAAATGGCTTACGCACTTTGGATAAGCAGTGGGAATTACTTGTGTAAAGTTTCCGGAAGCGTCAGACATAGGCCAGCGCCAAGGAACATAAGACAACTTATGAATATCGACGGCAGCGGCTTATAAAACTTTGCCAAGTAGATCACGTAGAAGGACAATGAACTCGAGGCAAGCCCAATCACATGTATATTGGAGACGGCACGCCCTCGCACACTCGTTGGTATTATCTCGGCGGCGTACTGAATTTCGGCATCATAGGACACTGTCGACCCATAGCGACCCAGGCCGATCATAATGGCCAGCAGGAGAGCGTTTTCCTTCGGGTCCAGGAAGGCGATGAGGAAGCCTGTGACTGTGGTAATAATGCCGCCCACCAGGAGTGCCCCACAAGCCATGCCCTTGCGGCCGATAATATTTTGAAGAAGCAGAATCGTGCAGCCAGCTGGCAAATAGTTTATCGACGTGAAAGAGAAGAGCTTAAAGGGTGATGTGCCGAGACCCTCCATATTGCGGTTTATCACATCATAAGACAGTGTAATAATGACGCTGTTGGAGTAGACAAAATTAGAGAAGAGCCAAAGGCTGATAGCAGGCAAAAGCTTACGATTTGAGCAGCAATGTCAAGGTGAATCGTCGCAGACGCGGTGTTCGAAACATTCCCATAAACGTGTCCTCGTGCTTAGTTAGTTTCTGTTCCTCGATCACCTTCTCGCGATAGTGCTTAATGAACTCGTCAAAGACAGAGTCCTCCACCTGTCGCCCATTGAACTTTGCCACCCACTTGAGGCATTTCACGGCTTGATCGTATCGTTTCTTAGTAAGCAGCCACTGAGCGCTCTCGCAGATTAAGAGCGGATAGGCGAGCACTCCGAGGGCGGGCAACGAGGCTATCCATAGGTAGTGGCGCCAGTTGCCAATCCAGATGGCGAGCCATGGCGAAGTCATCAGCCCGAAACAGTAGAAGAAGGCGAGTATGATGTTAAGACCAAAGGTGCGGCGCTTCGGACTGAGGTACTCGAACACTAAGAGAGAATAATGTCTAGTTATTGTGCTATCCACCTGAATGAAGATGAGTGAAGGAGTACCCACCCAAAATATACATCAAATAGTACATAGTGTCGGTGGAGAGACCCGACACAAATCTTGAGAACGCAAACCAGGGCAAGGTGTGCACAAATGACGTCATAAAGTCGCCGGATGCTCCAGCTACGGTGGCCATTAACATGGCTGGCAGGCGGCCAATGCGATCCGAGAGATAGCCAAATGTAACGGTGCCCACCACAGAGCCCACAAAGAAGAACGATTGACCCACGGCCGGCTGATGCGACTTGTCACAGACCCATTTCAGCTCAGTCGTCAAGCTCTCGTAGCCGCTTTCACGTTCGAAAATCCAATTTTGGCAAGTCTCCTGCTCGTCAGCAATGCCTGTGCCATTGACCACGCCATTGAGCAAAGTGCAGGAGGGATTAGTCACATTTGAATAAATAGAGCGTATCGACTCTGCGCTGAGACCATGAAGATCATCATGGGAGCACCTAAACGAGACATTTAACAAACTCAATCAGTCAACAAGGAGATCAAGGATATGTTCACTAAATACGTACCAATGCTCCGGCGTAAATGTTATAAGGGTTTGCGAGAAATAATGCAATGAACTCAATATATTCGTATACCCGTACAGTATTAAGATAACAAATTGAAAGCGTCCGAAACTTCCGCACTTTTCGAGCACGCGATCGAAATCCATATTTCGTATCAAACACACTTTATACAGCAGATATGCAGAAGGAGTCGAGGATTGAACAGTTCCCCATTAACAACATGCTCCGAGTCCAACAGTCAACTGATTGTTGATGCTCTGCTCTTGACTTGCTATCTTATATAGAGTGATCGCCGTTAGAAGGCGCTCAAGATTAAGGTGAGAATCGGCTTTAGCTATCTCTATTGGGCTATAAAACTTTGAGACTTGGACAAACACAGTAGTCGTACAGCAAGACAAACTGTCAGAGTCAGCTACTCTCTGCCCATTGATTGCCTACAATACGTAGCAGCTATATGGTGCTATAATTATTTACCTAGCATCCGATTTACCCAAGCTCTATAGCCATATTACGGCATATGATAGCTGATATAGTGAATGTTACTCGAGGAATGTCGTCGGGGAAGCCGTAGAATGTCTTGAAAGGGGCTTTTTCGAGATGTACATTTCTCATGATTTCTCTTATCAGCCGTTAAACTCGAAGAGAGTCGAAATACCGAGTCAGTGGGGCGATCTAACCATTTTTGGCAATCGCAAAAGTGCTTAGTGAAGGATTTAGCATCGGATGCTGTAAGTCACGTCTGCGCATTAAGCAGACTTAAGGCAATTATATATGGCGTCTGACAAGTTTATCGCTCGGCTTATAAACACCGCTAATATATAGTATAGATTACAACTCTATTGACATTGTGAAATTCCCGGCTTCCAGCGCACGCCAGATTTTATTAAGCATGGGATGCACATCAGTGACAAGTTCCGAAAGCATCGACGCAATAATTATAAATCATAAAGCTGATCTTTGGCGTCTAATTCTCTGACACTTGTGGCTGGCTTTCTGATGATTTAAACATTTATTAAATCATAATGCTTAAATTGCCCCAATTCAACCATAAAGCGCAATAAAAAACTAGCAGGATCGGCTCACTCGCAGTACTGGGTACGCGTTGCTACACGAGATTCCATCTTTATGAGTGTAAGAAATGCAGTTGCAGTTTGAATTATACTATAATGATAAGCTTTATTTTCAGAGCTATTTAGGTAAAGTTGCTGTATGAGTATTTTCTATGGTGGCAACAGATATCGTTTCGCCGTCCTGTATCCGCTTCTGACTAAAGCAGGGAAAGTAATACCACTTTTCGCCTACACCGAACGTCTCACCATCCGTCAATGTTTGGGGCAGTTTCCTATAAGTATATTGGATTAATATTTGAATGCAATAGCGGGAAATAACTTACCTTTTGACTGTTTCCGGCAGCGCTAGACATAACGCGGATCCAATAAACATGAGAAGACTGATAAAAATCGAGGGCAGAGGCTTGTAGAAAGTGCCCAAAAATATGATGTACGAACTAAAGAAGCCAAAGGCATAGCCCACGACGTGTATGTTAGACATGCCGCGGCCGCGTACACTTGTGGGTATTATCTCGGCAGCATATTGAGCCTCCGCATCGTAGGCGACGACGCCTCCATATCTGCCCAGGCCCACCATTAGCGCCAGCACCAGCGAATGCTCAGCTGGGTCTAAGTTGGCTATCAAATAGCCCGTCACTGCCGTAATGACAGCGCCCACAAATAGGGAGGCACAGGCCATGCCCTTGCGCCCGATGTAGTTCTGGAAGAGTATTATGGTCAGGCCGGCTGGCAGGTATGTGAAGCTGGTGTATGAGAAGAGCATGAACGGCGAAGTGCCCATGCCCTCCATGTTGCGGCTGAGTATGTCAAAGGCCACCGTGATGATCATGCTGTGAAGAAATCGTTGTAGTCTAAGCAATTCTAATGCCGCCAAACTTACGACTTAATGAGCAGTATGATAGTAAATTTGCGCAATCTTGGCGTCCTTAGCATGCCCATGAACGTATCGTTTGTGGTTTTCTGCTCCACGTTTATCTTTTCGTGATAGTGCTTAATGAACTCGTCAAACACATACTCGTCCACTTGGCGCCTATTAAACTTGGCAATGCGTCGCAAGCATTCCGCAGCCTTCTCGAACTGACGCTTCGTCAACAGCCACTCGGCGCTCTCGAAGAGCAAGCACGGATAGCAGAGCACGCCCAATGCCGGCAACGAGGCAGCCCACAGATAGTTGCGCCAAGTGCCCACCCAAATGGCCACCCACGGCGATATGACCAGGCCCACACAATAGAATACAGCCAAAACGATGTTAAGACCCAAAGTACGATGTTTGGGACTCAGATACTCGAATACTGTAATTAAAGATAACTCATTTTGAAACACCTGTAATGGTTAATACTAGCAGAGGTAAACGAACCCAGTATGTACATCAGAATATACTGCGTGTCCGTTGACAGGCCGGCCACAAAGCGGCCAGCCGAGAAAAGAGGCAGTGAATTGACAAAGGACGTGATGAAATCACCAAAGGCGCCCGTCAGAGTGGTCAGCATGCAGGCCTTCAATCTGCCAATACGATCTGCCAGATAGCCAAAGAATATGGTGCCCAGCACGGAGCCAATGAAGAAGAACGATTGACCCACGGCCAGCTTGTAGGCATCATCACAGACCCACTCGAGCTGTGCACAATATTGCAGGATGCGAGTGTCAGTTGTGCTGCTGCTTCATATGTTGCATACTTTCAGGGTTCACTTACCTCGGTGGTAATGCTCTCATAATTGCTCTCACGCTCAAATTGCCAGGATTGACATTTGAATTCCTCGCTCATCGACTCATCTGAATTCCACTTCGTATAGCTGCAGCGGTCCAAGTAGGAGCCATTTATCGACACATACGAACCTGACGTTGCTTCAGCCACGCAGCTACAAATGACGTCAATAAAAAATATATATAAATATGTAAATGCATTTTAAATTAATTTTAAATATTACCTATGCGGCGGCGTAAAGCTGATGATGGTCTGCGAGAAGTAGTGAAAGGACGACAAAATATTCGTGTAGCCATAGAGCACGAGCAATACGAACTGGTATCGCCCAAAGCTTCCACATTTCTCCAAAACACTCTCGAAATCCATTTTGGCTGGCTTGCGAACGGCAACGTCTAAACCGGTCGTTGCCTGTCGAGCGTGTGCCAAAAAAAAAGAAAAATCGCTGCAAATATTCCCATATACACACACACACATGCACACACACATACACACGCACGCACACACACACGCAGCATCCGTGCATCTGTAGCCTGCAATATCTGTGCGCGCAAATAGCAGGCCGACTAAGTCGCTGCCCCTGACTAAAGTCTGGAATAGATTCCGTAAAACAAACAGTTGCTGATCTTAAATGATTTTATCATTCATATGTAATGAATCTATAAGATAAGACCTAACACAACCGCCTGCCTGTTCAGGTTTTTGACTAAATTCATTTACGATTGCTAATACCCTAAACGAAATAATTTATTCACTTCGCAAAACGTAAAACTGTTTGCTTTTGTCCACACCTGATTGCGTGCTGAATATATATATATATATAAATATATTAGCATAATTCGTATTTTGTTACCCACTGACAGCTTGTATAGGGTACATTCTAGTCAATCTGCTTAAATAAAGGTGGTATCTTTATACGCTCGAATTACGATCGTATTTTAATATATAAAGGGCTTAACTTTCTTTGTGGCAACTGAGTAAATCAAGTGGAAATAAAAGCAAGAAAAGGAAAATGTATTTTTCAGATTTCGCTTCTTATGCGTATTACTGGAGATTGCTCGATTGCATATTCAAGTTTTGATATGGTTACTGAAATTGTGCTATACCAGGAAGTATTTAAAGCTTTGAATTTATATTGAATATATAAGTATATATATATTTCTACATTATTTTTTAAACATATATAATATAAAGTGTCTCATCTAATCGGCTCTGCTTTGTAAGCACAACGAGGATTCCATTCTAGTCTTTGAATGCTCCGTTAGCTTTGTTAGCCAACGCGCTAAGTTGTCTGTACTGCTTAAGTATATTATATATATAATATATATAAATTAATGTCTTACATTAGATACTCTTTTCGCTATCGCCTGACTATGAAATTTCATTATCATACATAAAAAATATTTGAGAGAAAGGAAAGTTTGTATATTTCCAAAAAAATATCTTAAATATACTGGGAAATATATATTGGCCTCATCGTTTAATGGCAATGCATTAAAAATAAGTTTACTTCAAAGCGCAAGAGTTTACATAAAAAATCATGAATGTAATTCATTCTACGAATTTTTATTTTCTCACTTATATTTTCTGATAAGAAAAATTTCAATTTGTTAGCCAAAGCTTTTTTTGACGAGAACTGAGGAAGTTTCTTTAAATTAAATTTGAAGAATCTTTGGCATTAGCTCCATAAGCTCCTCAGCTAAAATCTCTTGAAATCCCATAAAATATGCGGATTGGTGGAATTCTGAATGCAATTTAAAATGTAATCCAGGTAACACCAATGCTTTTCGCGTTAAAAGACACTCAAGAGACAGACAGACAGAAAGAGAAAAAATTTAATATATATAAATATGCAAATTATTTATGAAGGAATGTAGTAGAGTTGAAAACGCTTAAACTGAAGCTGGCATAAATATGATTTATTATTTTATAAACTTTTAAGATACAATACATCTGTTATATATATAATAAAAATATATATAGTTTGTCAGAGGCGAACCTTTATTGTGAAGTAAAAGGTGAATAAACCTTCTGTGAGAAATAAAGAGAGCGAGAGAAAGAGACAGCCCTCGCTTTGCCGGATTGGCTGATGCAACATTTGTTTTGCATTACAGCCGCAGCTGTTTTTGTTGCGACGCACAGCTGATGGCAGCTAGTCGACATGTTGCCAGCGAATGAAGCTACCGCAACATGTTGCTCAGTGTTGCTAAGCATTTGTTTGGCGAGCTTTTGTTTACAATGTGTCAAATGCTTTTTCTATTACGCCAACAATGACAGAACCTTTTATGTGAACTCTTGAACTTACATAATAAATACATATGTAACGGTAAACACTTTAATAAAATTGGACAAGTCAAAAATCGTCACAAGCTTAAAGTATCAATAGACACAGATTTACATCGAATCCTCAATGAATTATATTAAAAACTAAAGAAAATAAGAAAGTGAGCAACTGAGGGAAGATTGCATATGATTTATAAAGCTCAAACGTGAGAATGCGCACAAAACGAAATGAAACAATTCAATGCTAATTACACTTCTTCAGTCATGCGTTCTCAATCTACTCTTTCGAGAGCAGAGCTCTACGGTTTCTGGCAACTTTTTATGCTAAGCTGACTCAATGGGAAGGCCACAGTATGAATATACCCTTCTTAGTTAGTGAACGGGTATAAAATGTTAATTAATATATATTTATTTGCTTTCGTTTTCTATGGATTATATTATGTGTACAAAAATTGACTATTTATAAATCAGCTTCTAATTGACTTTAACTTTAGCTACATACAAAAGTCAGCTTAGTTTGGGTATATGAAGATATAATCAACCGATAGACCCAGCCGCCCCGAACGAAAGCCGGCCAAAGTGAATGTACAAAAGTCCACAAATACTAGCTCATGCACACAGTATGTATATGTATGCATATCTAGATTTGTCTTTGTTTGCAATGTGTACATTGTATACCCAGGTTTGGCTATTGTGCAAGAGCGCACACGCTGAGCTCTTGCTGGGAAAGAGATTAAAACTGGATTCGGAATGGGAATTGAATGAGTGTGCCGGGAGAAAGAAAGCAAGATGAGAGCGTCGACTCGCTTCATATGCCATAGAGTGAAATGTTGGCGGATCAGTTGAACTCTGGCTGAGTGTGTCGACAGATTGTGCGTGTCCAGAGCTGAATTAGTCGCAATGATGTTGCGGCTTCAACTTGCTACGTTGCTATTGTGGCTGCTGGGCAGCGTTAGCTGTTCAGAAAAGCCACAAAATGTGCTGCTGCTCCTGGCCGATGACGCTGGCTTTGAGATGGGCGCCTATCTGAACAAGTACTGCCAGACACCAAATTTGGATGCGTTGGCAAGCAACGGATTGCTGTTCAACAACGCATTCACCTCCGTGAGCAGCTGCAGTCCGAGCCGTGCTCAATTGCTGACCGGACAGGCGAGTCATGCCAGTGGCATGTATGGGCTGCATCAGGGCGTGCACAACTTCAATGTGCTGCCAGGGGTGAGCTCGTTGCCCAACGTGCTGCGGGAGCAGAGCAATGGCCGCATATTGAGCGGCATAATTGGCAAGAAGCATGTGGGTGCCGCCGCCAACTTTCGCTTTGACTTCGAGCAGACGGAGGAGCAGCATTCGATAAACCAAATTGGTCGCAACATTACCAAAATCAAGGAGTACGCCCGCGAGTTTCTTGCACAAGCCAAGCGCGAGGCCAGACCCTTCTTTCTGTTGGTGGGTTTTCATGATCCGCATCGTTGTGGACACATCACACCGCAATACGGCGAGTTTTGCGAGCGCTGGGGCAGCGGAGAGGAGGGCATGGGCACGATACCGGACTGGAAGCCCATCTACTATGACTGGAGCAACTTGCAGGTGCCAGCGTGGCTACCAGACACGGATGTGGTGCGACAAGAGCTGGCCGCCCAATACATGACCATCTCGCGATTGGATCAGGGAGTCGGATTGCTGCTGCGGGAGCTGAAGGCATCGGGATTAGCTGAAGATACGCTCGTTATATACACCTCGGACAATGGTCCACCTTTTCCCGGTGGCCGCACAAACCTGTATGAGCGTGGTATTCGATCCCCGCTGATTCTCAGCTCGACACAGCCTGACGCTCGGCGTCATGAGACGAGCGCTGCTATGGCCAGTCTCCTTGACATTTATCCCAGTGTTCTGGATGCTCTCCAGCTGTCGCCGCCGAACGGAACACGCTTCAGCGGCCAATCGCTGTTGCCTGTGCTGCATAAGGAGCCCGAGCCTGTGGAGACCGACGCAGTCTTTGGTAGCCAGAGTTACCATGAGGTGACCATGGCTTATCCCATGCGCATGGTGCGCAACCGCCGTTATAAGCTCATACACAATCTGAACTACTGGGCAGATTTTCCCATTGATCAGGACTTCTATACGTCGCCCACGTTCCAGCAGATCCTTAATGCCACCATCAACAAACAGGCATTGCCTTGGTATCGCACTCTGCAGCAGTATTACCAGCGACCCGAGTGGGAGCTGTATGACATCAAGGCGGATGCTTTGGAGCGCTTCAATCTTGTGGATAAGGCCAAATATAGCGCCACCTTGAAGCAGTTGCGCCAGAAGCTCTTCAAGTGGCAGGTGGATACAGAGGACCCTTGGCGTTGTGCTCCGCACGCAGTGCTGCAAGATCAGGGCGTTTTCAAGCAGGAACCCGCATGCCTGACCCTGGGGCACGAGGCGTTGCAAAGGCCCAAACGTCGGCGGCTCACGCAGTACGAACAGTATTTCGTAGTGTAACTAGCCGCTCTATAGAGCATCGGCTTGCAGCGTATCTAGTCGCCCAGCTGATACGATCAATTAGTCTTCAACTGTTCTAAGCACTTTTTCGGTTTTGTATTTTCTCTTATCAGATTGAAAATAAAATGCAACTTAATGTACTGATAAGACCTTGGCACATGCTCATATCAAAGTCTTTTACAATCATTAGTCATTTGGGCCTAGACGTACTGCTAAACTGATAAGCATTGAAATATCGCCGGCTAATTGCCCTGATTTTTGTATAAAATATAGTTTTTTATTAGTCATTCGAAAAGATTGAAGGAACAATAGAAAAATTACATTACTTAATTACACCTGTGTGGAGAGTTTACTTTATTTGGTTTTAAAATTTTGCTATTTTGTGATTCAACTATATTTAAGAGTGGCTCAAGATACGCCATATGAATCTATGAATTGCCTTAAAATTGAGAAACACGTTTCTATAATAAGAATTACATTGGCACGACAGTTGATGATGATGATGTACACATACACAGATTCTAATACATATGAGAGGTTCCGCTACTTATTACATATGATATCACACAAATCTCTAAAATCATTACAAAGGTATAGAAACATGCCTTTGATGCTTAAATAAAAAATAATAATAATAAAAAAATAAATAAATATGTATTTGATTTCAAAATTATCTCAGCTTTTAATCGTTAAAAGTTGCACTTGCACAAGATTTTAAAAAACATTTTTTGAAATTTTAACATATGATTATTTGAACTATATTAATAATTATTTAATACTACAATTTTAATTTTTTTATTTTGGAATTTCATTGAGATTGAATGTTAGTTGATTTAAAGTTAAAAAAAAAAATAAAATACCAAGAAACAAATAGATTAATCAACTAGTTAGTTAAAACTGTTTAGAATACTAAAATTATTTTTATTTTTTAAAATAATTTTTATTTTAGTTTTAAGCTGTTTATTATTACAAACGGAAAAAAGGTTTGCTAAAAAATAGTAAAGTTATAAATAATAATTGAATTTTCGCATTTGTTTCCGAACTGTGTAGGACACATTACTCTATGTTTGGGTAGTCAGCATGGGAGGCAGCGCAACCCCAGTCTAGAGGAACTCGTTCACACTGAGGAATTCGTTGTCAGGGGTGGCATCATGACCTCAATGGATGATGATATGCGCAGGGGGTGTTGCGTCACGTTTCAATGTCATTCCAACTGGGTCGCCTTACTCTTTTAGGGTTGGGTTGGTTTCGGATTTGGATACGTCGGCTGTCCCATTGTGTTCTGTGTGGAAAATCGAATATTTCAATGCGTTTTTTCTGTGGCGCCGTCAACGTCGACGTCGTCGTGTCGGGTCTCATCCCTGTGCAGCATCCGAGTCAATGTTACGCAACATTCGTATTAAGACCTCGGGGCTGGGCCAAGGCTAAACTGGATGACAAAGGGGCGGAATGGCATGGTGTGGAATGGTTGCAATGCTCGCTTTAAGGTCAACGTGCAAATAACAAAACACAAATTTGGTTTTTCTTTTGTTTTTTTTTTATGATTTTGAACGAAAGACACATTGAAAATTAAATGTATTCAATTAATGTTTTTTTTTGGAATTTTTTTTTTATGTTTTGCATAAATTAGGTTTCAGTTTTTAGCGTTATTCTTATATAGTTTGTCTGTTGTATTATTTGTATGTAAGTAGTTATGTATATATATATTATTTTTAATTTCTTTTCCACCTCACAAATGCATAATTACAATTATTATTGTTTTACTCTTGCCTTCCATCAGTGCGTCAATAAAACATTCGCATCTGCCTCTGCCTCTGCCTCGGTCGGTTGAGCCAAAATCTCGAAATGGGGCTGCCGCCTGGAAATGTTTGGCAAATGTCGCCAGTTTTCTATTCGCGTTCGTAAATTTAATTTTTCTGTTGCTCATTAACTAATTTATTATCAGTAAATATATAATCGTGTATACGGCTGCTTATATACATTCGTGCTTGCATGTATATCGCTTGGTATGCACCATTCTATGTATGCCATCTATATGGGGCTTGACTCATCTGCTTTTGGATACAGATACAAATACGGATACAGATAGAGATACAGATACATATTCTTCTAGGCATTTATTGTTAGTAAACTCATTTTGCTTTTTGGTTAGTAATTGTTTTCGTTTTGCTATGCTTCGACTTGACTTGACTGGTTTTTGAGTTGTCGCTTATGTTAACAGTTATTATCAACGTATTAATATTAATAATTATTTTCAAATTTTAACTAGTTATATGCCGGTTTTGCTTAGGAGGATTCTGTTACGTTGTTCATTACATTGCTGTTGTTATTATAAATATAATATTTGTCGTATTAACGCTGCTGCTCAGTATAAGTTATAATAAATACATAATAATAAATATACATGTAGATAATATGCTTAATAAATATATCTATATATATATATATTTATATATATATATATATACTTTTTTGTTTTATGTAATAGTTATGTATATAAATAACAAAAAACAACACACATAAAAAGGAGCAAACATTTGAGGACTTCAATATTTGTTATCGTATTACATCCTTGAATTTGACAAAAGTTCTTGAAATTTTACAACGAACATCAAGACAGTTTATGTGCCGCCTTAGGGGATAGAGTGTAGGGAGTATTGTTTTCGCACAAATATCAGTTAGGGGTATACAATAAATATATATAGGTATATAGTAGGTATACATATATGCATGTATATATATATATATATATATGTTTTAGGTAGGTAGAATTAGGTATGCTATATAGAATTTGGATAGAGAGCGCAATGGAAATTACAAATTAGAAATTACAACAATCAAGTAAGTGAGAAAGCAAAAGACTCGCAAACATATTTGTGTAAGTATGTAGTATGGATATCTAGCTAATTAATATGTTGGATTGACATGTTTCCTCTCAATATATGTATGTATATATCGCATATTGTGTTTTGCTGTTCATATAGCATAAGAAATGTAATTCAAAGTAGAGCAATTGCTGACATTCTTAAATTGCTAACGCATGGAAAGTTCTTATTAATTTTGTAACATTTGAAAATTTAGTTAGTAGTACATACACAATTACATACTTTAATTTAATTGTAATTAATAATTTGTAGTTATTGTTTTGCCAACTGGTAAAATTTCGCATTTTAATTTAGTTTGCTGTCGTTTTTTCTTTTCTTTTGTATTTTTGTATTTGTTTTTCGTTTTTTGTTTCGCATTTGCGCCGTTTCAATAGATGTTTTTATGGCCTCGTGAATGTGCTGTGCTAGCTAAGCCGTTATCATAACTCTAAACCATATTAATTCGCGTATAACCGTCTACATTTGTATGTTTTCTTTTTTGCATTTATACTATGTGCCAAGCTGCGAAACCAACATTCAGTTTATTTATGGTCAATACAGGCAATCTAATTGGGCAGGGGGACCTGCACCTGCACATAGGACTGGGGGAAGTAGCCGGTTCGGCCATTGACGGCGCCTTCGTACCAATTGTCGTCGACGCGATTGAGTAGCGTTATGATGTCGTTCTCCTTGAAGCCCAGTTCACCTGGGTTTTCGGGGTCAAAGTCGTAGAGGGCCTGGCAGCATGGCTGCTGCTGGCGATGTGGTGTGGCGGCCATTGACTTGGCGGGCGAGCGCATCGGCGAGGGCAACGGCGAGGCGCTCGAGCTAATGTGGGACGGCGTGCCGTCATCATTGAGGCCGCCGCCACCGCCGTCCAAGTTCAGATCGAGCAGCGTCTTGGGCACAAATTCATTGCGTGGCCGGCTCTCTGCCTCGGCACGTTTTTCCTGTAGCGTTTCCTGCAGGCCACGCAGCACATCGGCGCATTGAGAGTGAAAATCGTAAAGTGCTTCAGCGAAGGTCACGAGTTGGGAGACATGTTCGGTATCGTTTTCCAACAAATTGAACATGCCTACTTGTGCCAATTGCAATGACTCGGCAAACTTGTCCTCAGCACCACGAATTTCATCATCTTTGGCCTGCCGACGACGCTTACAGTCAAAGTCGAGACGCCGGCCCTGCAGCTTCTTTCGATGGTGCATGACCTCCTTTAGGTCTTTGGTCTGCATATGATGCAGGGGCTCCAAAAAGTTCTGCTTGATGTTGTCGTCCAGCGAATACTTGACGTCGGCCATTTGTTTTAGCGCTTCGCCGAATTCGACGAGCGCCTGCGCGAACACGCTGTTGTCCTCGCCGAGCTTCTTACCATAAGTCAACATGCATTCAGCCAACAGACCTTCAGGCTGTGGATACGTATTGGATTTAGCTTGTCCCGACAGCTTCGAGATGCCTTTGACGGCGGCCATTTTGGCGCGTGCCGTTGGATTTGGCTGTAGGAACTCCTTGGTCTTCAGCTGCAGTTCCTCCACTAGCTCCACGGTCACATCCGTCTTACGCTCCATATCCATAAAGTCCAAATCCAGCTTGGTGCCCTCCGCACCGCCCATTTTCTCCGTCACATACTGATTGGCTTTGTTGATCTGTTTCTTCAATCCAGCGAAAGCCATCGTGTTGCTGTTGCTGCTGTTGTTGGTGCTCTCTGTGGCTTGATGTCAACGACGCGGTTGCTGTGAACGGGTTTGAGTTAGTTGACTTGCCTGTTAATGCTTCAATTTATTTAATAACCCACAAACTATCAGTAAATGATAAAAAAAAAGTGAATTTGATTTCTCTGCCCAACTACGATACGAATCTATTTTTAACGTTTGGACGACTTACGCGGCGTGCACTCTTTTTTTTTTGTTGGGGGTGGAAACGCTCCGTTCTCGATGCTGGGTGCTACTGGGGCTGACGTCGACTGAGGTTGTTACTGGCTGGAAGAAATTGTTGAAAACGCCAGTCGCATAGATTTATGTTATAATTTTGCACTTTCACTTGTTTCGTTTGCGCTGCACGTTCTGTGCTATCTTCACACTTCTTTTTCTTTTACTCTCTGCTGGCTAAACCTTGGAGTATAGCCCGACGATTGGCTGCGTAATGTTTGAAGGACTGTCGTTACTACTACTAATCTCCCTCTGCCTTGGGGCTGGTGTGTTGGACGCGGGGGTCGTTTTTCCTCGTCGAACTAAATCGATTTTTTGCTGTGTACAAAAATTTTAGTGATGCCATAAACATCGATACCGATACTTTTCATTAGCTACTCACTTTGCGTTAACATAATGCACATATGTTAACTAACATTGTCCTATGAGCTTAACATACGTTTATGAGGTAAAATCGATCGATATTTAATTTGAAAAATGACGCGGGCAGAGTAGCATATAATGAATACGAAAATAAATTATATATTTTGTAGTTATGTGTTTAGTTAATCAAAAGTAACACACTTACTTTTTGTGTATTTCGCGTTTGAGTCTCAGTACAATTTTTAAATATATATTTTATACAGTTGTGCATTTTTGCCAAAGGCTTAGTAAACTGCTGCTAAATTCAAATATGTGGCAAGCTTATCATAATATAACGACAAGTTGCTGCAATGAAGGCTGTTATTTGACATAAAATTTGTCTAAGCAAATGTTAAGTTAGCAGCGAATGAAATTGTATCATTAAAAATCTATTTTTAATCTATAATTTGTGTTTACTGTTTACTTTTTTTTATCAGTATATGCATACATTCCACATGCAAAGATATATAAATATTCTGTTTAGTGCTAAGTTCGTAAAGATATCAAAAAAAAAGCAAAAACAAAAACAACTTAAAAAGCGCTAAATAATAAAATAAACACTGCATTTTCTTTCAATTAAATTATATTTTTTCACGTTTTGTAGATTTGTAGCGATTGTTACATATGTTCTTTAGATGTATGTATATACATATAAATTATTTTGTTGCTCAAAATGATGCAAATATTTGCGCAATTTTTAATTAATTTGTTTACTTCAAATACTCATTTCTTATTGTTGTTTAACTTTCTGCAAAAGTTGTAAGTAATAAAAATTATGAATCATTTCCAAAGCTTTTGAAACTTGAAGATCTCAAATTTTGCACACGAATAAATAAAAATTTCATATTTAATTAAAATTTTAGCGCGCAATATTTCAATCATTTTGAACGAGATCGGAAAAAAGACAATTTTAAGTAAAATAATAATAGAAAAACTGTGAAAAGAAGTGTCAAGTCAAGTCAAGCTGACGTCATTTGGTGACTCGACAGTTTTTGCGAGCTGCTCGGCTTTCGCTATTATCTTAATAGATAACCCCTGGAAGTGGGGATTACGCTACTACATTTGATAAACAAACATTAGAGCATGTAAATCAGTTCAATTGCCAGAGCCAAGATAAGCGAACTGAATTGCAGGCTAACTATGTGTATATAAGCCCATTCCGATGCCTGACCAGATATTAGTCTCTCTGAAACTACTACGACTGAGCTCAACTCAGAACAAAACGAATCGAATCGCCTCAAAATGAAATTCGCAATTCTTTTACTCGTTGCCAGCATCGCCTGCATTAATGCACAGGTAAATCTATATTGTGGAGCTACCCTCTTGGCATGCAGCTAATTGATGACTTTATTGTAGGCCTTCGGTCCTTTTGCGGGCGGCAATCCTTTTGCAGCTGCATTTAATCCGTATCTGAATGGAGTTTTCGGTGGCGCCGCGCCTGCTGCGGGTGCAGTTGGCGCTGGAGTTCCTACCGGACCTGCTGCTGCGGCACCACCAGCGGCAGCGCCCTTCGGTGGCTTCTCCGTCTCTTCCTTCTTCCAGTCCATAGTGCTGCAAAAGGAGGCAGATCGTCTGCTCAGCCAGCCCAACTTCCCAGCTGACCTGGCCGAACGCGTTCTCAACGTGCTGTCCAATGCCGAGTTGGCCTTTGCCAACTGCAACACCGCCACGATGCCCTGGCTGCAAATCCGTTGCGTCAAGCCAGCCCTGACCACAGCCAAAAACGATCTGAAGCTCATCGATGACGAGTGGCAGGCACGTCTGGCTGCCACCACAGCAGCCCCAGCCCCAGCACCAGCAGCAGGCGCAGCTCAGCTCTAAGACGACTCCATTGGATACCCGAAAAACATACTTTAACTGCAATACACCAGCATAGATTCGATATACTTTAAATAAACCTTTTGAAAGCACCTAAGCTTCAAGTTGTGTCCTTGGCCCCGCTGCCTCAGTCGCTCAAGCGTTTTGCATAGCTGTACTTTATTAAATTTGTTGCTATTACGAAATTTAGCAGAGTTCAAGTCGTGCGATTCGAGGGGGATTTGGGTGCAAATATTTCGCTCCTTCTGCTTCCCCTGTGCAGGGGAGCTATTTGAGGGGCTAATGTCGTGCAGCTCAGTTCACAACTGTCCTCGAGCGGGCCAAGTAAAAACTTGACGCATTTTGGCCAAATATTTGAATTCCTTCACTTTATTTGCTCGCTTTTGCGGCATTTCTCCAGTGTGCCGCCCCTAACGCCCCCAGCCCTTCGGCTTTTTTGCTCTTTGCGTGAACATTCTGAAAATGGGCAGCTCAATTTTGCCCTAGTTCTATGTCCTACTCTTCAAAATGTGTCCACTCAGTGCATGGCTTTGAGCGCTTACCCAGCCAAAGTGGCCCATCGACTGACCGTTGAAGAACCAATGTTGATTTATGTGGCCAATGCAGCTTCACTTATCATTGTCCTAGTTATGTCCTGACTCAATACCTAGCTAGTTTCGCATTGTTGCTGCTGGCACATGAATTTCGGGTCCAAGGACTGTTGGCATTAAAGGGGATTAAATGGTTTGGCTTAACGAGCCAAAGATTTGCCGCAAATGACCAAAAGCTCTCGGCCCATGGCAGATTGAGCCAAATGACGCATACGCCTCGTTGGCGTTCCAAATGCGGTAAAGCACATTCAAATTCAAATTCAAATTCAAATATGTAATTAAATGTAAATTTTGAAACAGCCGTTGGCCATGTCAGCGTAGCGCTTGCTACACACACCCACACACACACACACACTCAGATATACACAACAATGACAAGGCGAATTACAAGGATCAAGGCGAGTGCAAAGTTTTGTCACTTAATTGAAATATTTGCCCCAAGATTGAAACTCGAGTTTTGTTGTTTGTGTCATTACAACAAATATGTCAGAGTGTGTGTGCGTGTGTGTACGACTGTGGCATGGCTGTGAGCCTTGCTAAGTTTTGCGGTACAAGCAGCCACCAGCCACGCCCAGTTCCGCCAAGCCCCGCCCCACGACGCTTTGCTGGTAATGCAAAAGTTGCGGCATTTCAAGTGCTTAAAAAACAGTGGACAAAATGAAAGCAGGCCGCAGCTGAGCAGCCTTCTGCCAAATATATGCTAAAATTGGTTAGCCAAACAAGGGAAAAAAAGAAAACAACAAATAAATAAAAAACATGACGGCGTGGTGCACCGGGAGCTGGTCCATAAGCGCATGTATGTAAATTTGTGTTGGGCTTGCGGATTTGTATGCAAAAGTTGCGCCCCAAAAAGCAGGCAACAGCTTCTTGTTTTTTTCTTGCTGCGTCTCGGACATGTCGAGCTCGGTTGGCTACGTGTGGGCGTGGCCGGGACAGAGCGAACTGACAGCACGTTCGCATTTTTGGTCAAAATGAAGTTAGCCATTGTGGAGCAGCAGTTAAACGTTCGTCGCCCACTGACCAATGCCGCCGTGACTCACATCCGCCTGTAGTTGTTCCTAGTGTGTGTGTGTGTTCGTTCTTCTCACCTGATAATAGAGGTGATATATATGTGTTTACACTAGCTTAGCAGTTGAATGCATAAGCAATTAGCTACTTTTTAGCATTTCCGTTGCCCGCTGATAAGCAATTATATTAGAAACAGAAAATCTGTGCGCCTATAAAACCTGAATTGGGTTAAAGCTGTTAACGACCTCGCGCTGTCGTGGCCAGAGATATATGAACGCGCCTTTACAAGCCATTTTACAACATTGTTTTTATCTAGCTGAACGCCCAGCCAGATAAGATATAATAGATGCTTCTGACACTGAGATTAGGAACAGTTGCTCATTGAACGCACACAGAGAATGTCGACGGCAACGGTGATTCTGATCTCAGTTTGGGCTTGCTTGGTACGCATCAGATTCGAATTCGACTCAAACGAAAGCGGAAATATCCCATTTGTCTCTGCAGGTGCTGACATACGCCCAGGACGCATCCATTGAGCTGGCACTGCAGCGTGGCGCCATAGCCGAGCAGACAGTGCGTGAAGCCATCGAGCAAAAGCTGCCGCCCACTGTGGAGGCCAAACAGGATGGCGCCTACATCTTGGACACCATTAAGGTGGGCCTGAAAAGCTGCGAAACCCAGCTAAGAAGCAACAAGCTGGTCGCCGAGTACAACAACTGCGTGGGCACACTTCAGGGCCTGGCCATGGCCTCTGTCGGCGAGCTGGCCGGCCAGCACTGGGCCAAGTCGGGTGCATCACGTCCCACGCTGTTCTGGTGAGAGTGTGCCTCATGCCACATGCCACATGCCACATTATCTTTAAGTAATTGAAATTTAGAGCCAGCTGTCACAAATAAATGCTCAATCCAGATGTGTGGCCAGAATGCAGCCGTCTTTACTGGTTGGCTGCAGCTCTTACTGCAGTTGACGCACTTTGACACGAATAGCTTAAGCTTCTTCAGTCTGAAGGCGCTATACATATATGTCGTTAGCATTAGCATCAGAGAATCAGCACTTGGTGGCAGAATCTGATGAACTTTTGCCCAAATTGCTGACGGGCAAAAATTTAGCTTTGCTTCTTGCTTTGTTGTATTCTAATTAGACTGTCGAGTGTGTGTATGCATGTGTCTCTCTCTCCCTCTCGTTCTCGGTGTGCGTATGCGTGTGTGTACATGCTCATTAGACCAAATGTGCGGGAAGTGCTGAGGGGGCGGGGTCGTGTGGCGAATATAACTGAGTAATTATCATCATTAAACGAAAGACGCAGCAGTCAAAGCAAATAGCGACATTAACGTCGCTGAAATTTGTGCCAAGGCAGATGAAACAAACGGGAACTGACGGAGTGGGAGTGGGACTCAAGAGTTCAGCTCGTATTTCAACTCGATGTACGCGTGACGCAATTTTCTTGGCATTGACAAGATTCGCTATCCGAGAAGCTAGTCAGATTTACCTTACAAATATAAAGTTACTTATCTTAGGAAATCAATTAAAATGCCCATTTCGAGTGAATATTTCGAGTGCAAAGATTCATGCTACATATCTGTTTAGAGTCAAGAAATTCAAGTTATTCACCAATTGGGGCATGGCTAGTCAAGGAAATATGAATTTTTGTACAAGTTAAAATATTTTCTTAACTCATCCAAGCTAATATTAGCGCAAGATTAGTTTAGCTACAACAGTCATAATTTATTTATTTTTTTTACACTTTTGTATCATTGACTGATTTATTTTTTACATTTTGTGCCTTTTGTAGGCAATTGCGGACATTTGTTGATTATTGGTAATATGTCTAGGCCTTTGATTCGGCATCTGAAGTGGTTTCCGTATCTCCAGCAGGTGCATCTGGCTTGGGCTCATCTGTATTGCCGAAAACACAAAGGGGGCACTAAGAAAACCAGATAAGATAAGCGATAATGCGAGTGTCTATAGTTAGATAAGATAGATTTACCTTCTCTTTGAGCACTAGCCGATACTTGGGATGGCTTTTGTGAGTGAATAAAAATATTAAAAATGCTCTCTCGAGTAGTGCGCGCCAGCTTACCTTATGCCATAGACAATTGGATTGTAGACGGCGCTGGTTTTGGCAAAGGTGGCTCCCCAAATGGTGGTAAGTGGCGTCAGACCCTCGATCTTGAACAGACCAAAGTAGCAGATGACCAAGTACGGAGTCCAGGCCATGAACCACAGCGAAATAGTCGTCAGTGCCACCTGAGTGTGTAATGAAATTCGAAACAGTATGTAAGTTAATTACTTCAGCCTTACCTTGGCTAATTTGCCCTCAGCGCTCTTGTCGCAATCCTCAGAGCTGCGCAAGGACTTGACGTTCATCTTTTTGGCCTGCTCGCGCATGGCCTTCTCATGGGCGGCCACGGCCTGCAAATTGGACTGTTCGTTAGGAGGGGAAACGTGTTCTGCCTCGCACACTTACCGCAATTATAAACCAGTACGAATAACATATGAGAAACAGCGGCACATAGTAGACGAATATCGAATAGGTTATTAGATAGGAACGCGGATTCCATTGTCTGGTCATGTAGTCAATGCTGCAGGCTGTTAAATTGCCCTCCGGCACGTAGGCGCTCCAGCCGATCAGGGGCATTATGGTCCAAAACGTTGCCATCAGCCAAATGAACAGGATCTTCATGATGGACAGCTTGATGGTCATGGGCGTTCCGTTGATGCCCCTGACAATGACATTGTAACGATCGAAGGCGATCATGCACATTGACCAGATCGAAACACAGCCAAACATTGAGCCACAGACCGCATAAATATCGCACCACAGTGGCCCCAAGATCCACGTCTCATAGTAAAAATTCACCAGCATGACCGGAGACTGTGAGGCCATCATGCAAAAGTCAGAGAAGGCCAGATTCAAGACGAGCAGATTGGCGGGCGTGCGCAGCGACTTGGTGCCGCCAAAGATGTAGACGACAACTCCATTGCCACAGCACGAGATGATGAGGATGCACAGAGTAAACAGACCCAGGATCTTGCTCATTGTTGCATCCATTGGTGCGAAACGGCTCCAATACGGATTGACCAGGTGTGCCATATCCGGCAGCACCTGTAAACGGAAATTCATAGATAAATTAGCTTGATAATGAAGGATGATGCAATGCATGATCTGCATTAAGTATGTTGCAATTTAATAAACATCAGATGCCTTCGAGCTACCCTCGCTATAGCCAAATAAGTTTTTAATTAATTAGTTTTATTTTATAGCTCTATAAATTCATTACAAAAAATAAAACATTTCTTTTGTGTTAGGTAAATCAAGGGCCAAACTTACATTGTCCAGGACGGAGCCATTGCCGCTCGCCTGCGCCTCGTATCTAGGGCCAAGTACTGTGCCTGGCAAGGCGATGTCCAATGGGTGTGGCAACAAGCTGCGTTCCATGCTCAGCTGCCGCTCAGCGAGGCGAGGCCACACACATCAAGGTATTCTTTCGGACTAGCCAAGCTGTTGGCCAGCAAACAGCTGCTTTTATAGTCGGCTCTTTGAGCCAATTAGGCATAGATCGATGGAATATGCATAAATGTAAATAGCTGACATATCAAAGTCACTTATGTTTATTTCATTATTATTTCACACTTTGCCAACGCGGATGAGCTTCAGCTGGTCGTTCAGTTTATTGAAGACTTTCGGTCAGAGCTGAGCTAAGAATTTTTTCCCGCACTTGTGGCAGAGCTTTTGCCCATTCGAGTTGGGCTTACATTTAGAACACACTGAACACAGACTGTGGGTCGGTTTTGAAGTACCTTTTCGACATTCGGGAAATAAGGAATAGTGTCTTTCACTGAAGTCTTCGTGTGATATATTGTTCAGCTGAAACATCTTCTCTTCATCATCATCATCTGTGCTGGGCACATCATAGCGCACAATCCTAACTTGTTCACCCAGTATTAGCTCCTTGCAGCAGTCTTTGATTTGATAGTACGCATTTCTGAACGCTTTAAGTTTGCGCGCCTGAAACAGAGATGTTCCCAGAGTAAAATTCAACTCGAATCATTTTGCTCAACATACCGGCGACAGATCAATAATCGACACGCTCTTGCCATTCTTTCCGTACGCGCCCAGCATTATGACATGTGATGTGTGCAGAATATGATTGGCATCCGCCCAAAGCAGCAGCTCCTTGTAAATGTGTTCGTTCATGGCTATGATGTAATCGAAGTAGTAGAAGTCCTGAACAGTCAGCTACCGAAAAGGAGAACACATCAAACTGACACGACTTTTTATTTGGCATCATCAAGACTAAATTACCAGCCGACAGTAGTGATCGGAACGCAGCCCATGTTCTCGCAGAACTCGCAGACATAGTTTGTGCGGTCGCCTACCGATGTTCCAGGTGCGCAGTGCTGCACTGTCTACCTCCCAGTAGAGACTCGTCTTCACCATAAGCGTCTGCATAATGGTCTCCGCCATTGGCGAGCTGCACGAGTTGCCTGCCCCAGAGACACGGATTGATCAATGAAATGGAGCCACAGACTCGTGCCAACAGAAATCCAGCTGTTCCGACACTTACCCATGCAAACGAAAAGTAGTTTCTTAAATGTCATATTGTGTGTTTAGAGTTCTAACTGAGAATTTAGTCCGTGGATTAAAAAGTACGCGTTTTACGATATATTAAAGATTGTTTATCTGACCTAAATTATATTTGGCTAAAACTTTTTGCCTTGATTTGTGGGATTGGTTTAGGGATCACAAGCCTGCTGAGTTGAAAATGGTTTTGGGACTCATTAGCTAGTCGTTGCTGTTGTCAGCACACTCAAATTAACACAAATGAGCCGTGTCACTGTTAACGTACGACAAGACACGAACCGCGACCACAAACACAACCCGCCTCATGAACTTTGCCCCAAGCACTAGTCTCGCACCAATTTGGCACAGTCTATTTTCTATGATTCGCATTGTGGCATCTGAAATGGTGCTGCCACAAGTTTGCGTTGCATGTGTGTTGGTGTTCATGTGTGTGTGTGCGTGTGTGTGAATGCATTTCTGTGCCTGTTGCTGTCCTTCGAACTGGCTGTCCTTTGCGCTACGCTCAACTCCAACTTGTCGCTGCCTGAAGCGCACAGTGTGCCGCACCAAGGCAAATGTCTATAACGGCACACTGTTGATTATCTGTTACAGTGCCTCATAATAATGTACCAAACACATTTAAGTAAACATTGCCTACTCCAAGCCAAGCGCGGCAAAGCTATGGAAACCCAATTTAAGAATTCTATATGACAGCTACGATAATCGAATGCAAACACAAGTCTAGCTAGCTTGAGGACACTGTGCAAAATGGCGATTTAGCTGCAAGTCGCCTTCACTGTTGACTTGGCAAATGTTTGCTTTACACCCACTTGCCACCTCATTCGTGTGGCAGTCAAAGGGATTAAAAATATTGGGCTGCCAGGTGGGGCGGCGTCGTTACACAAAGAGTGTCAAGTGCTGGTGAGGTGTCCGCGTCGCGACGCATGCAGCATTCTAAATTGGCTCCCAGGGGAGGGGCAGCAGTGAGCGTGGGCGTGGGCGGGGGCGTGGTTGAGCAGGGCAAAAAACTGGCGAGTTCAGCGAACTGGACCGCTGCCATGGCCCACATATGCAAATGCAGATGCAATGCATCGCCGTATTCAGTTCCCCATCCCCTCCCCTCCCCCCCTCTTGAGTGCCATAATGATAGACCATGCAGGCAGGCTATAGCTTTTGCTTGAATTCTGGCTGCATTTTTCTGTGCACACAAATCGCACAAAGGGTCTTGATTCTTTTTGTTTTGTTTCCATTTCTATGTGTGTGCAATAAAAGCATTATTTAAGGACTGCTGACTGTCGACATTTTGCGAATGTTTCCCCTTTAACAGGCAGCAGAAGTTTGCCAGCTAAGTGGGGCAGGGGCAACTGTTTGGGCGGCGAACGCTGCCCATTGCCAATATCCAATTGGAATTGCATTGAACTACTAAATTGAAAACTGAAAAGCATATTTCACTTATCACTTTTCACACAAAACACGTTCGGGAACAAAGCCAAGGGACTGGCAGAGGGTGAGACCGAAATGAAATTGTTAAAAGTAAAACACAGCAACAACAGCAACGACGACGACGACGACGACAACATCCTGGCTGACTGGCTGCCCCGGCAATACAATAATACTGTTTGTATTCGAGTGTGCATGTGTGTGTGTGTATATCGGGTGTTAGCCGATCAGTGGATAGGTGAAAATGGTTGCGAGTGGAGCGGCGCATTGTTGTTTTAATTAAAAACCAAGCCAGCACTATTTCCTCGATAGCAACAAAAAAACAAAAAAAAAAGTGTACTGAAAACGAAATCAAAGTGCGCAAAGCTGGGAGCAGCAGCAACCGGTAGGATAGATGGAATGAAAACTGTTGAATATTTAGTGCAAGCTGCAAGAGTTGGGCAAAAAATGTGAAAATTATTGAGCACAAAAATGTCTAAGCGCAGCCAGACACAGAGTGCCGGAAATGTTAACCAGCTGTTGTGTGGGTGGGTGGGTGATGATATTTATGTATGCAGGCCTGTGTGTGTGTGTGTGTGAAATCGTAACCCAAATGCTGTGGTTTTTCAAATGGGTATACAAACACGGACAGACAGCGTAAGCAGAAGTCGGCACAAAGCCGCATCTAATGGCAATTTAAATGAAACAAACAGCAAATGAAAATGAAAATGAAAATGAAAATGAAAATGGGAAACACAGAAATCAACGAAAAATTGCAAGCAAACAAAACAACAAAATGAAGCCTGTTGTTGCCGATGCTGCTGCACTTTGTTGACCGCAAATGCAATTTACAGCACAACAATCAGCGGCAAACGCACAACGCCGCAGCGTCAGAAAAGAAAGTAATAAAAAAAAATGCTAAACTTTGACTGCCCTTGTTGCCACTCCTTTTTTGTTGGCCTTTTGTAGTTGTTGCTGAGTTGTTGTTTCAAAATCAACAACTATTTTGCCATCAGCAGTAAAAAGCAGCACATGCAGCAACTGCATTAACTGGCCAGGCGTTGCAATAGAGGCCCAGAGAGTGGTTGGGGTTTGTTCTGTTGGTTCCGGCTAACCCGGCTATGGCAGAGGCAGCATCATAGTTTTGGCCGCACTCACACAATTGCGCTTGGTTAGCCACACACATGCACACACACAATTAGAGGCAACGGAAGCGTAGCGGAGTCTGGGTGTGGGCTGAACTCTGATTGGGGCTCAGCCTGTTGTTGGGTTTGTGTTTGAAATTAAATTTGGCGCTGTGTGTGCGCTCTGCTGCTGCCAGCTAACCCCATTAGTTGCCGGATTTATCTACATTTTCGGACAATTCGTGTTTTCTAAATAAAAGCGATTTTATTTGAATTTGGGCTTGTTATGATAAATGCATATGTAGCGAGTAGTACGGAGGGAGGCGGAACAGTCTACTTTGCCTCCGGTGCACTCATAAATATTTATGACACAGTTTGCATGCGAGAATATGTCACCAGTTGCGAATCGGTCGGCTGGCTTGGTTGGCTGTCATGATTGAATGGGCCTTTTCCCCGCGGGCTCGCTGCCTGACTGGCTATTATACTATTGTACCTGTGGCGTATTGCCTGGCAGTCAGCGTCAGGTGAAGTGATAGCAGGAAATAAATGAGTCAATTCTGTTTGACTTGTCATTCTGCACTACTGAACTGTGCTGTTGCTCTCGCAGATGCTACAGATGCGCACCATTAATGAATAATGAGTCTAAACAAAATAAAATAAATTAGAGCGAGTGTATGCTGGCAAGCAGTGCACGACTAGCAGATGCCCTGTCTGGTGCGAGCAGCTAGCTTTTTTAAATAAAAACTAGCTCTATCTGATCTGAAAATTTCTTATGTAGGTAGATTCAAGAGTATGAAATATATTTAAAATAAATATATATATATCGTCTTATATGAAGTTAGATATACCTAGCGTAAGAAACAGCTTTAATTGATACATTAAATCTAAAGGCAGATTTTGGCCAGTTCTAAATCTAAAGGCAGTTTTTGGCCAATTCTTAACCAGAAATAAATAGATTTTGAGGATTCATTTTCTATTATTTCATATAGTTGATCACTTCTTGAACATACCTTGTGTGGGTGTATACCCGGGCATAGCTTATTAAAAATCAAAACAAAGGACTTAACTTGTCTGTTCATCAATATCGCAGACATTGGCCCGAGCTGCTGCTGAGATTGCGATGTCGAATGCGATTGGCTGTGGCCGATAATGCCGCACGTAACGGCAATTCAGTAAATGATGATGCAATGACTGCCGCAGTTGGCTTTTTGGCCGCGGCACGACAGTGGCACGTTCCAGACGGCAGTCAATCGTTTGCAACATCTCGTTGCGGCTTCTTTAGTGGGGCTCGTAAGTCATTTAACATTTTGAGGTATATTTAATGAGCCAAAAAGTTTTTGCCGCACATAAATTAAAACTCGACCGGCCCCAAAAACTGAGCCCGACGAGTCGACCAGTCGAGCAGCCGCAGGTGGCAAGGGGCAGGTGTTGGCTGACCAATCCACTAGCGACCGCTCGACAAGCCAATGGCTCTATTAGCATGCCCATTAAAATTAGACAAATGGTTGCCATTGCCGCTCCCGCTGCCGTTGCCGTTGTCGTTGCCACTGCCGTGGCCGTTACCATTTCGCATATCGCAATGCTGGCCCAGTCTGCAGATTTATGACCCATTGAGTGGGGAATGCAGGCGGCTTCTTAGCAGCTTCTAGGCTTCGAGGCGAATTGGCCTTGATTTTGGCGTGGCCTGGGCTTTCTTTTCTTTTCTTTTGGATTTGGTTGTGCCGCAATCATATATGCCACTTGAGAAATGCCATTTTTTATGATAAATGATTATGTTGTCAGCTGGCCCGCACCAGTTTATGGTGGTCAAATTGGCGCGACCTCTAGCGGGACTCGTGTGTGAAGGTCAGTGAAAGGCATTCGAGAGTAATTGGCGGAAGCGCTGCTGTTCGGCTTAGTTTAAAGCCATCCTGGCCAAATAATGGCTCTTAAACTTTCTATTCATCGATACGTATTGAGGAGTGTGCGCGAGTGTGTGGGAGTGTGTGAGTGTGCATGAGTGTGTGTATATATTTGATTGAATTTGTTGGCTTGTGCTCCACCTCTATTGTGCGCGCTCCGTAAGCTGCTTCCATTTGGCAATGCTTGTGGGCTTAGCTCAGCCTTTTGGCAAATTTAACCCTTCACTTCATTAAACGAATTTCCAATCCTTTGGGGTGCACAAATCACTTTGCCGCAGATACTCACAAAAGCTAAAGCCAAAGCCAGAGCCAGAGCTAAGGCTAAGGCGACTGGGGGTGTGGCCATAGAAATTTGACAAGCAGCTAAACAAAAGCCTAATCGTGCAGCTGCTGTCGCCCGCCTGGGCCACACCTTCCACTGACTTCTCGGAGCTGCCGCCTTTTGGTTGTAATCCATCAAGCGGCTTCGGTTCGGAATTCGGGCTACTGTCACTACAACAACGCCAACAATAGTCGCAGCAGAAGGTGGCGGAGTCGCCGTAGGTTTGGCCAAGGAAACAGTGAACAGTAGCTGAGGCCCGACCGAAGTAGGCAGCAAATTGTTTTCCACCACCTTTGCCTTGTCGTCGTCATGCCTTTGTCTCTTGTTTATCCTGTATGTTTTTTGCTCCTTCCTGCTGCTGCTCTTGTTATTTTTATTGTTGTTGTTGGTATATTAAGTATTTAAGCAGTTAGCCGGTTGGCAGGAGATGGATCGC